AATTAATTAAATAAATAAATAAATAAATAACGGGAGATGGACAAAACATCTCTTTTTGCTGGACAGACTCTCTGAAAAAGGTATACAATGGCAAATGAAAATGTTTTATGGTTCAAGCAGTTAAACCAACATTCAGAACCTGGGTCTAGATTCAGCAGAAACACACTGATTTTGAACTGGTCATGCAACAAAATAATGATGTGTACAAGGCTCGCAAGTTTAGTCATCACGCTTTTCTTGTATGATTTTTTTTCAAGGACCTAAAGCTCCCAAAGAGGACCTGTAAATTGTTATATTTTTAACCATGGCATTCATTGCCAACTACAAAACAGAGCTTCAGAAGCAATTTGGCTTTTGTATAAACTCACCCCTGTTACCTCTTCCCCTTCTAGACAATGAGATCAGCTTTCCAATTGCCATATTCTTGCAAAATTCTAATTATCCATTTGCCAATGAGAAGTAAACTATGTTTTTATGTAAGAGCATTTTTTCCATTAGAATAATTATAATAATTGTGATAGGGAGCAGGGAGATTTTTGTGCCTGGCTTGGGCATTTTCATGAAGTATTTAGCAAGGCTGAATTACTCCAGGAAATTAAGCAAAAGCCTATTGAGCATAATCTATATGATATGATAAGAAACTACAATCTATTCCATGTTTAATGCAAAAGAATACAATCTCTTTTCAACTATGGTGCTAATTCATCTTTCCAACCTGTATTTGTGTTTAGCTCTATGCTGGCTCCCAGCATAAAGTCCTCACAGAAAACCTGTGAGCAATGAAAAAGGCACTGTTTTCTTTTTTAATAGCCGGGAAAACGTCATCCTGACCCATTCTTGAGAAAAATAGTGTAAATGATTGAGTGCTATAGGCTAAGCACACTTTAAAAAGAGGGATATAAAGGTTTTTTAAAATATATATATTTAAGGAAAAAAACTGTTAAGAATACATATATACTGAAATGAGGAACATAACTTTCATCCCAAGATACCTGTATTACACTCCTACACAACTCATCTGCCCAGAGAGAGCAGTAAAAACATAAACGCTACACCAGCAGTTCTGTTCCAACAGCATCTGTTAATTCACTCCATTTATAAAATACATATTGACAAAGACAACTGAACTGGGACCGGGGAGATTTGATTTGGTGTGAGAAAGTCAATTCAATGTGATTTTGTTAAAGGGCTCCTGCAGGCAAATAAAAGAGTTTAAGTAATAAAGTACATAAAGAGATGTTTTATGAGCCAGGCCCATCTTGTGGCAGTTACACAATGCGTGGCTGTGCAAGAGGGCCTTGTTCTGAGCTGGTATTGTGAGCTCGGCATAGATGCTGTAGATCAAGCACAATTAGGGATCACAGTGAGAGGGAGCTAAAATCATGCAAGAGGTGCTGTTCACAGCATATGCTCCATAAGCCACCACTAGAAGGGAAGGATAATATGGAAATTGCAGAAAGCGCTGCAATGTTCTGATTAGCTCGTCGTGACAGTCAGCAACAAACTGGGGTATTTCTGATACCTCAGCAGCTGAAGGATCCAGTGAATACAAAAATTAAGCTGGAGACAGAGAGGAGTTCTGCCTTCAGAGATGAATTCTCAGTTATATATTAAGATGCTTATTCATACAACTAGAGGCTCAAACCGGCACGTGTAAGGTGAAAGCACCATCACTCCTCTTTGTACACCAAGCAGAACTGGGTATTAAACCTTCAATATTTCTGTTTTGAAATCAGGGTCCCCTTCGAGACTGCAATCATTTCTGAAGTCTTTTTGTCAAGCTGAGAAAGCCTAAGGCTGATGGTATATATTTTGTCTAATAATTGCGGAAAGAAAAGACACATGAAAATATCTAAATAGGTTTTGTAATAATACGTCGAATCTCTGTCACCATCTCTTCACAGTGTACTTTATGAGGAACTAGGGTTCAGATTGTACCTCTGAGTGATGAAGTAATTTCCTATGGTGTGCAAGAGATTAATGGGACACAACAGATGAGCTGGTGTCTAGTGCTAGGGATTAATTTTTGTTAATTTTAAACTGCAACAGGTTTACGTGAGAGGTAGACACAACTGAGGGACATAGACCATCAAGTAAATACCATTGCAATCTTCAATTTCCAGATGACTAACCCCACATTTCCAGAGTAAATGGAAAATCCCTGCTCCGGGGTGCATGGTAGCACAAGGTGGCCAATCCAACCTCTGCTCTACATATTGAGAAGTGACTGGTCCTATTTCCTTGACTTGCATAAGGAAAGATCATGCACTCCTTTCGAATTTTCTTGTTTCTCCAGCCCCTGCAGCTTTTTGACAAAGGCAAAGAAGGTTACTGAAAACTCACCATTCCACAATCTAGCAGAATAGGTGAGTAAAGTGCCACAACGTTTTAACAATTGGCACACACACTTTAAACCTGTATTGCTTCCAAACAGTTAGTGTCACAATAGATTTAGAAAGATGATGACCCTTTCTTCTTGAAGACTTGTTATTTACCCGTGAGAGGTCTGTATGCAGTCCCTTCTTTTTCGTCACCACAACAGATCAAGTCCATGCTTATGACTCTTCCACCACAGCACTGCTGGTTGAAACTGTCATGCAGGGATCCACCACAGCAGATTTGATTGCCCGAGGTGGAGTAAGGCATTCCCTGGCAGCACGAGTCACCAATTCCAACTGAAACTCTGTTTTCCTCTTTGTTAGGGCAGCATACTTCTCCTGCCAATTTAAGAATAGAATTAAATATTTTATGCATTTATAGCTCTTGAAATTCCTGAGAGGCATTCATCAGATAGCAACAAGTCTGGATTCACACGTTAGTAGCTTCATATACAGAAGGTTCCATGTGAAAGCACGGAATAATTCAATACTTTTGAATGCTATAAAATTATTATATTCATTTGTAATAATAATTAAAGAAACATGCATCCATTAATTCAGGCCCAAGGCTGTAAAATATCAAAATGCAAGCATGACAAACTGAGAAGATCAATGAAAATAATGTCTGTATACATGATAATTATACAGCTGAAAACCTTTTGCTATTGCAGCTACATAGTAAAGCTGTGTTTAAGAGAACCATCAGCCTACTTATTCTCAGTAAAAAAAATTCCTTGTCTCATTCTAAACTTGTTTTGACTAACTAATTCACACTGCTTAAAGCGTTTTTCCGTGACACTCAGGACTACAACTCACAAAGAAGTTAAGGATTGAACTCACTTTAAATATTAAATACCACCATCACAACTGGTGGGCTTGGTTGCTAGTTAAGCAAAACCATCAGCTTCTGCAGGAAAAGACCTTAGCATTAGATTGCCAATGACACTGACAGTATAATGGTGGGGTGGGCTGGGCTGGGATAAACTGTGCTATGAACAAAGCAGATGCTGCTATAAAGGATACCAAAATTATGGTAAACGGCAATAATTTCATTCACTAGTGTCTGCACTTGATCTGATTCTGTGTTCTAACGGTCACAGTTTTATATTATCTCTCTGTGTTGCACTGTTTTCTGTGGCTCAAATGTAATTTGGAAGGGGTAGTGGGTTTGCTTTGCTATTGAAGCTGTGTAGTAGAGTTGATTAAAGTATTTTGACTCCTGATTGTTAATCAAAGAAATGTGTTTTGATTTTTAAAACTCATATTTCTCATTGAAAGCAATACCTCATGTCCTTTTCTTATGAAATGCTGGGAATTACAGATAGAGAGTTCTAAACCCAATGCAGCTTTTGTCAGAAATAAACATGGTATGTGATTGTAACCTTTCTTCCCACATCCCTTGCCACATCCCTTTCCTTTCTTCCCACATCCCTTGCCAAAGAGGTGCCTTAGGGTGGTAGTAATATTATTGTTCTGCCTCCCATCTTAGTTCTGGGATGGATGTTTGTACTTCTTTGTGCACTGCTGTTTCAGAAACTGAGATTCTGCCTACCTAATTTGTAATCTTCATGCCTTCAGCCTAGTGTGCTTCAGCACATCTAGAGCTATCAGGCTGGCCAAACAACATCTGGGAAATATGTATGCTTAGAGAGTTTCCTGTATAAATAACTTTATCAAATAAAGTCAATAATAAACAAAAAAAAAGATGAGAACAAATTTTTAGAGTATAATAGATATAATCTGTTTAGATACTTCATCATATTTTCCTGCTTTCCTCAGAATCTAATTTAGTTGCCACACACAGAAAGTATTAAAACGCAGAATGTAGCTTACATGTATTGGAAATAAAACTAGGGGTTTTTTAAAGTACTATTAGACATAAGACACAAAGGATCAGTAACCTTGTCATTAACCTCTCAAAATGGGATCCATTCCAAGCTAGGCTTGAAAATGTTCTCTCTCTGAAAACTACCGTGCAGTCTTACCAGTTAATTGTTATCCTTATCAAATAATGACCCACATTAACATTTAGCTTGAGGTTATTAGCATATTTATAAAAATAAAAAAGAAAAAAGTGACCAACAGTGTTCATGTTGCTGCCCTTTGGAGTATAGAAAAAGAGAATGCAGCAAGCATACTTCGAAAAAAAATTGTTTAAATCACATTCAGACATTCACTGTTTCATGCTTGTGGACTGCTGACTGAACAAGAACTACTTTCAGACATAAGACATTTTGTTTCACTGTGCTTTTCTTTCTTGATGTAAACAACAGTAAGCTAGTTAACATAGACCACTGGATGGGAACAGAGGTCACAGTATAATCTCTCCATTTCAGTACATTGAGATTAATGAGGCCAGCAAAATACTCTTCTTTGGCTCTTCCATGTGACAGCATTTTTCTGATGACATCATGGAAGGCATTCTAATATTGTGATATATGAATTGCTTTTCAAAAGATCAGAACTTGGGATGTACTGAATATGCTGGCAAAATTTCAAGTGTTTCTGTGCCTAGGGAATGTGTGCCAGTTCATGAGTAATAGAAGCATTTTAGCTCCTGACCTGACAATTGTCCACAAAGAGATAACTCTGAACACTGCCCTTATGAAAGGGATCTCTCCTCCCCCTTTTCCTCCCCTCTCCCTGTCAACAATAACCGACCAACAAACTGGAAAACCAAACTCTGGGCAGTAACACAGAGGCACAGTTTTGGCAAACTTCCCAAACAGCTCTGAGAATTAGAAAAGGATAAATTTCCATCAGAGTTAATACATGTGGGATGGATACTTTGATCTGTAGCACTGGTAGAAAAAAAAAAAGTAGACAAATTAGAAACAACTAGAAGTGGTGTAATTCATAATATCAACACCAAATGCTAACAATTGCTCAACAAAAGAGCTGGCTATGGAAAATCTTGTGGGGTCAAGTCAAGCAGAGAACTAAACTGCACCACCAAATTGCCTGATGGTGTTCCTATTAAGCAGAACTACCCTCCCCATTATGCAGTACTTACTGCAATTAAGTATAGTTTGGCATAAATTAGTTCTCTGGGAAATGACCCAATCATCAGGTTTCATCAATTAAGCCTTTATTGTATAAACAGTGTACTGTGCTTAGAAGACAAAGTGAGTGCAATTTTCTTTGCTTATCCCACTGAACACAAGTCACAAAGACATCTATAAATCTTGATAAATCCTAGGTTTATTGCTATGTTTTCATTCTCCTTGGTTTAACAAATATATCAACTTTGTTGTTTTGCTTTGTTCAAGCAGTGGAGAGGAGTTGTCTCTTACCTACTAAAACTCTAGTGTAATAACCACCACAGCACTGATGTTTTGGTTGCACAGCGTGTATCTGACCACCACAGCAAACCCCTGGAGAATTAAGAATAAATGGAATGTACTTGTCCTCGCAGCATTGGAAGCCAGGTTTACTGTCGTGCAGAATCCCATTACAACATACCTAAAAGTAGTTAAAAAAAATCAGTTAGGCAATATCTGTTAAACAGAACATAACGTGTTGTCTGGCTAAACAATGTATATGAAAACATGTGCAACACATCCTAGTACAGATACTAATATGACTGCAGTCAAATAAAATGTAACTTGGCTAAAATTCTGTGCCCTCCAGTGCTATAAGACTTCAATAAACTACTGTGTATCTGACAGAATGCTGCTATTCTGTGGCCTTCAACCATACTGCACCTTAATAAAATAGTCAATTAATATGAATCATGGTCATATGCCTTGCAGGCTGTTTGAGTCTCTCAATGTGGAGTAGACTGCAATATGTGCATATAATCTACCATCACCTTATCCTTTCCTTTTCTTCCCAATTCTTGTTTATTTATTTATTTATTTATTTATGATGAAACATACAAGCTGAAACCATTACAACTAAAAACCAGTATTTCCCAATATGAGCTCTTGGGTTCTCTTTCATAAAAAAATAAGTGGCATTTTCTCCTTATAGCACATGATCACTTACTTATGACCGCAGTTCTTCAGACAATGTGATTACAAGAGAATAGTATTTATATAAGATGGGTTTTTTAAAAAATAAAATTTAAATGGAAATGAATTTAGAAAAGGCCTTTTAACTGTGGACTCCTTTCTAGGTACTCTCGATAAAATTATCTGCTTGAACAATCAAATAATTATTTGCACACTTACTCCTGTGTCGACAGAGTGGCACACTGTATACACAGCAAATCATATAACAGACTCAGTACAATCACTGTAAAAATTGTAAACTTGGAACCTAAAATCAGTGCAACTTGCATTAGCCTCTTGCAGCTAGACATGAAATGGAGTTGGCAGTAGATCACAGATGCTAGAGCAGAGTCACTCCTTTGTTTTCTTTTGACATGGAGCAGTTCCACCACTGACTTTAACCATGTTCTAAATCAGGTTGTCTTAGGAGCAAAGAAAGAAACTCTTCATCTAGAAGGATCTTTCATTTATGTAGGTCCTTTAACTAACAGCTAAGAAAAACTTCAAAAAATGTGTATTACTAGTCTCAAGATATCTACTTTGTATTACAATTATAATGGTAACAAAAATGTATATATCCATAAAAATTATTATTACTTATGTTATAAAAAATTCTCTTTGACTTCAGAAAGTGCTTTGTTTGTTAGCTTTTGAATGACCTTTACTCAAGCACCCATGAGAGTACTAGGTTAGGTTCTGAAGTTACAGTTTACAATACATAAAAAATATGTAACCCAAAATCAACATGAGGTAGGGCAGTAGGGGTTCCTGTTTTCTCATTATTTTTTAGGTTTTATTACCTTATATTATTTGAATTGTCACGCTGTTTTCTGCTTTTCATGCACATTTAGCCATTCAGCATCTGTTTTACACTACCAGTGTAGCTGAATTTTGGCATTTTCTGCTCAGGAATTTTGAGTCTCTGTCGGTCCTATTATAATCTTTTGCTGTCCACTTGTGTCACTGGTAATACAATCCAATCTAAGAATTAAATTAACCTACTGTTCTTTCTTCCAGATCATTAGTTAAGATGTCAAATAAAACTGTGCTTTACACCTCTTCTCTGCTTCCTAACTCTTGGATATTTTGTAATAACTGGCTCCAGGCTGAGTTTTTCTTCATTTACAGTTGGCTTCAAAGAAACCTAAAAGTTTACCTGATCCCTCTATATTTTCAAGTCACTTAAAAGCATTCTTAAAAATATTAAATCAAGTACTATTGTGCCACTTTCCTCAGAGCAGATCATATTTATCAACAATTCTTTACACTTGTAAAAAATGCCCTCTGTCCTGTCCTTTTTAACTGCAACCTGAGCTTGAGACACCAGCCAGTAAATTCTGTAATCCCCTGCATGAAAGGAAGCCAAATACATGTTCCTCATGAATTCTTGATCCAAATTCGTGTGCCCCTTGGGATTGTATCTCCCTCTGTGGTCTGCCTAGCCCATTATCTCCTCTTCTTTTCATGGATTTAATTTGCCATCCTTGTGCTGTTATTTTCAGCAACACTCATATTTCATCTGAACAGTCTTTCCATCTTTCAGATGGAAGTTGCACATCTTTGGCATTATCCAGTCTCAAATGCTTAAGCAGCTATTTTACTTTCCATGTGATGTTTCCAGTTTTAAGAAATGTCTCTTCTCTTGTGAATTCTCAGTAGAAAGAGCTGCCCTGTATATTTCACACCAGCACTTCGAGGGCAATTTTGGTGTTAACACTGCAGCATTCTGTTTGGAGCATTATTTGTAAGATTGCAGTATGCTGGTGTCTCTCCTTTGCCTCAAAAGATCCCTGGCTGAACATCCAGTTGTGTAACAGTAGTTTCAGCAGATACTTTTCTTTGCTAAAATCACTTAAGACACTCAGTATTTCTCAATAACTTATAGACAGTTTCCAAAGAGAGGTCCAGTGAGTTCTAAAATTTCCATCTGGCATTACCATTTGATATAGTTGGTGCTATTATGTAGTTCCGTAACATCCTTTGCAGTCAGCTGTAAATTGTTAAATAACACTTTTTTGGCAGTCCTCTAGAGAGAGTTTCCATATGCATTGATATTCAGCCCAAGGATGCTGCATTATCAATCCATGAAATGAAATGTACTCAAGTAATGCTAAAATTGTGTCATTGAAAAAGAAGAAAAGCAGATGGATTGAAAGCTATAATGGCAAAAGGTTATTATTATCTCATCCACTTAGATCTAAGCATGACAGTCCTCACTGGATTATGTTATTATGTATATGAAAGTAGAAGCCTCATAGAGAACCGATACAGTGTCAATAACATTTTAGGCAGGTTGGAGATCTCACCCTCATACAGAGGGTTGAATGCTCAACATACGCTTGGTAACCAAAAGATCTTTACTGTCTATGGAGATGATACAAGATGTTCATCCTTAGCTGTCATGGGAGCCCTTAAAAATACCAGTAGACCGAGTTACTCGAGAATCTATCCTATAGTTATCTGCCCACACAAGCCCAGAGGGACTGTGGCCCAGGAGCACAGGGACTGGGAGGGGTTGGGCACAAAGAGAAGCTTATTACAATACCCAGAAAAGGCCCAGTCAGCTGTGACATTAGCACAGGGTAACTAGATATCAAACCTGGCAGGCAGGATTACACGATATTTTAACAATTCTTAAAAATACTCCGAACTTATCTATGCAACTCTCTTTTAATTACAATTGTGTCATCCCTGATCCCTCTGCTTGCTGAAGACTTTGCAGAAGGATATTATCTGGCCTTATGGACACATGCCAGTTGAGCTAGGACTGATTTACTCAAATAAACAGATGTGCTAGGCAGCCATGTTTATCCTTCTTGTCAAACGCTTGCTGCCAGAGCCACTTTGTGAAATAGCAATTCACAAAACACTCTCAGGAATTCCTATTAGCTACAGGAGTTCATTAAAAATTTCTGCCTGTGGAGCAAACACCAGAGTAATGATTGACCTATCATGTTCTCATGTGAGAGGGAATATTTTAAATTAGCAAGACTCCTTCTTTTTTACTTAAATTATCTCTGAATCTATACAGACATCCTTTTTAGCTAAGTACACTTACTCATCCATTTCTCAAACTGTTGTTCTCTTTTGGTAATTGATACAGCCTTAGATCTAAAATCCGTGAGCAGAAATTATTGTTATGCTGTTACAAATCACTGTATATTGTCTTCCCAAAGTGAGTTTCATTTCCTTTCTTTCAGGTATGTTACAACAAGAGTGTAATCTTTTTAAAGGTTCTCTAAGTCTGAAAGAACTTGAAAAGAATTTGTACAAAATTGCTAGCATTAACAGTAAATTTTACATAAATATTGATGGAATATCCTTCACCAGTGTCAAGACATGTTAGTTTTCACTTCTGAAAATTGTGCTTTTGAGGTTAGCTATCAAGCCACTGTTTTATTGCTCCTGACCTTAAAAAGAAGAATCCTGCTGGTGTTTTTAACAAATGGCATGTTCATTATGATGAGTAAAGGGGTAAGCCTGTACTTCCTAGTAATGTCAGTTATATTTGATTAGTTCATTAACTGCAGATTTATACAGTTTGTTACAACTGAAAATAAAAAGTGTTGAAGCTATATTAACACCTTCAGTCAGGACCCTTTTAACCACTGACGTTCATACTCGTGATCCGAAGTGTACAGAAATCATTAGGCTTTATGCCACTATTTTAGTTACATTTTTATTGTACCTGTCTCATTATTTTCAAAGTTCACCTCAGGATGCCAGTAACAACAGAAGAACAGTTTGGTAGCTATGTGGATAATGGAGGAATGCCTTCCCCATTCGTACTGAGATTATGCTCCCTCATGTGTGAAGCTTGGACACACTCCCTTGTTAATTGAAGTACCTCTGCAGATCTCATGGTATGTGCTCTGGAAGCTGATGTCTGTTTTGAGACTTCAAATATGGGTAGTTATGGATACCATCTCTCTGAAAACAGCTAGAAAAAGACTGATAATTTTAGCAGCTTGGGAATACCCAAGCAGCACAGGTCTGTTGCTGTAAAAGATTCACAGGACACAGGGATCCTCCTGGCAGCTGGCAAAATTCAATATAAGTGTATTCTCAGCTTTTCCACAAAAAAACACACAGAAAAATCTTTCTAAATTCCTTCCATGCTCAAGAATTATAAATCCATCCAAGTCTGATTAAACAACAGGGTAAGCATACCAGGCACAGCATGTATTCACTTTAGTTAAAATAACAAAGATTCCTAGCATCGAAGCAGAAGACTGGATAACAACTAGAAAGAGGAAGTAGGGATCTGATGGCAAGATTATTTAGGATGGCAGGAATGTTTAGTCTTCACTGGGCTTAATATCAGGCCTGCATGAGCCCATGAATGTGCATGTACACATGTCCCTCATAGTGAAAAGGTCATTTGCTCTTTTAGAGATTCCCAAGGCAGCTCTGAGCAAGTTGGTTTATTTGAACAGCACAGTGCTAAGCAAAGATACTAACCTGGATCCCAAAGGCAGCACATGCATAGCAGTGCAGCCTTGCACCTGGGCTGTTTCACACTGCCTTTCTGATATAGCTATGCTACTTAGCTGGACCCAACTCAGACAGCATTAGATGAAGAGCCTCTGCTGCACACCGAAAATACACCCTTGTGTTTCTTTTACTGAAACACTTTGGTTTCTATAGATGGAGTGGCTTATATTTTGGTGATCCCTTGTGTAGCTGAATTATAAAAAATCCCTCTTTTTCTGCAGTGCCTTACAACAGTAAGCTGATGATGCCAAATGCAATCCATAAATCCATACAGAAAGATTAATAAATAACCAAAGACATATCTCCAAATAATTTATGTACAAAAGGCCTACTTTTCCTCTCACTTTATACTTACAAATTCAAGTAAATTGTAAGAGGGAAATTAGATCCATTTTGTCCTTTATACAAGATGCAATAAGTGACTTGAGCAAAAGTGAGAACGCCATAACCTATCTGTTTATCAGAACTACATATATACAACTGTCTGCTTTTATTGATGTCAAATGAAAAAAAAACTTGTTTATTATTCTGGATTTGCACATTACTTAAGCTGCTCAGCATTTAATTTTCAGTGGCATATCTTTGCATTTGGCTATACAACTAATGTATGGTGAATAGATCATGTTGGATGGGGCCTTGATCAAACTGGTCTAGTGGAAGATGTGATTGCCCACAGCAGGGGGGATTGGAATTAGATGGTCTTTAAAGTCCCTTCCAACGCCAAACATTCTATGGTTCTATGAAGTGCAGCCTGCATTGTGACAAGAGGCTTTCTTCAGAACAAGTGTAAACTGGTCAGAGTTGCTTTTCTTCTCTTCTGTCCAGTAGACTGTCAAACCCAAGGACCACAAATACTAGCATAAAGGCTTCAGCATTATCACTGGCATGACTGACAATGAATGCTCTAAAAGTGTGAGAGAGGACTGCCACATAAGGTCTTATATGCTGTCATGTACACCAGTTTAAAAGGAACACAGACATACCAAGATCTCTGTAGTTATCTCTTACAGACATTTTGGATGGCTAGTGCAGATATGTATAGCAAACCAGACAAAGAACTGGGAGGGGAATTTTAATCAATTCACCCACAAAAATTACTCCCATATCATGTTATGTAGGAGTGCTCTAGTTTCCTGTGGACCTCCCAGTCATTTATTATATATCCCTTACTTAACAAATAGCACCCACTGGTAGCCACAGTCTCTGAGAACCATTAGAATAAAGTAATGCAAAATTAATTAGAAAAATTAGAAAGTCATGAAGCTATAAAAATAAATGAACACACTCCAAGCTCAAAGTTACCATAAAAGTACAAAGGAGAAAAAATACAATCAGAGGAGAAAACTTCTAAAACTAATATAATATAAATATAATTCATATACATGCAAAGATCTATTAAAAGTCTACCATGCCAAAAACCAGGAATAAATACTTCTACCTTTTAGAACAAAGGGCTGTCCATAACTCACTTAGAAGATGTCAGAAATACTTAGGTTTAGTATAGTACTGTTTTCAAGGGAACTCATAAGCTAAAGCTGTGTTGGAGGGTATAATTTATATTTTGATTTGAACCCCTCAAATAACTCACTCCCTTAATTACTGTCTTGTCTGACAGAGAATCTTGTGAATACATATTGTTTTCTTTAGTCACAGAACATGTGATGATATCTTTGACAAATAGAGACACTATTTCATGACATTAAATCTTACTTTCAAACTAAGAGTTTTCTATCTCATTTGTCAATAAAAACCATTACAGACTCCTGCTATGCTATTGATCTTACTCCTAAACAGGAACTCATATGAAGATTAACCTGAAAATAGCCATAATTTAAAAATGCACCTGACAAATCACAATAGATCCCATTCAGAGTTGCTCATCATTGTCATGTAACAGCTACCCACTTGTAGCTGAATCCAAATAGATTTTCTCTACTGGAGTATTTGGTCATTAAGCATTTAGTCAAGGAAGAATTCAAGTGGGAAAAAAATCCCCAGCAAGTCACGTTAATAACCACTATTTGCCATACAGGATTTGAGGAATGATTCCTCACACAGAGAGAAGCTCTATAGTTTTGCTGGTGTTTTTCAAATTCTGTATACAACTAGAAATTTCCTGGGGCCTTTAAGCAGTGCAATGCAATCATTTTATGCCAAAGGAGCCATATGAACTGCCATCATGTGCTCCACAGATACCCAAATGAATACTTGAGCTGACAAAGCATCTGAGAGGAAATGATTAGAGATCTGCTTAGCCGCTTGGATCCTCACAAGTCCATGGGACCGGATGGGATCCATCCCAGAGTGATGAGGGAGCTGGCAGAAGAGTTCAACAAGCTGCTCACCATCATTTACCAACGGTCCTGGCAGTCCATTCCAATGAGGTGGTAGATTCACCATCCCTGGAGGTTTTCAAGATTAGACTGGATGTGGCACTTAGCACCATGGTCTAGTAACCACGGTAGGGTTGGACTCAATGATGTTGGAGGTCTTTTCCAACCTGGTTGATTCTATGATGGCATGTAGCTGAGCAAAACTGTTTGAATCATAGCATATCCTGAGTTGAAAGGGACCCACAAGTTCATCAAGTCCAACCCCTGGCCCTGCCAGAACACCAAAAGTGTTCCTTGAACTCTGGCAGGCTTGGTGCTATGACCACTCCCCTGGGGAGCTTGCTCCAGTGCCCAACAATGCTCTGGATTAAGAAACTTTTCCTGCTACCCAAATAGGTTTATTCCTAATAAACCTCCACTGACACAGTTTCACGTCATTCCCTAGGGTCCTCCTGTTGCTGGCCATCAAAGAGAATAGACCAGTGCCTTTTGGCTGCCAGGGCACACTGCTGACTCATATTCAACTTGCCATCTACCAGGACCCCCAGGTCCCTTTCCATGGCACTTCTCTCCAGCATCTCGTTCCCCAGTCTGCATGTACAGCCAGGGTTGCCCCGTCCCAGATGCAGAATCCAGCATCTGCCTCTGTTAAACTTCATTTGGCTGGTGAATGCCCAGGCCTCTTATTAATCTAGGTCTCTCTGTGGGGCCTCTCTGCCTTCAAGGGAGTTGACAGCTCCCCCCAGTTTAGTGTCAATTGCCCCAAGTAGGATGCAAAATTACATACAGAGGTCTATATACATATATGTATATCCACCATGTAATTTGTCACAATGGGGTGGTGTCAGTGGACTCAAGAGTTTGGTAGTGACATTCCTCAAACTTCGGTTATATGTGGCTTGTGATATTTACATATAGCCTGATTTCCTGGGATGAACATATGCACTATGCATGTGGAGCAAAGCTTCCTGAAGGGAATAAACTTCAGACACATCCTTGTGAAGTGAGGTGGTCCACAGACTGGTTGGGAATCTAAAGTCCCCATCCAGAGTTGATGGATGCTTCAGAATGTATTTGAAGGAGTTTTGAAACATAGGTTCTGGCTTAGCTTTCTGTGCAAGGAATTTAGTTCTCATGTGTTAAAATGACTTCTACCCTGAATAAGCATATAATAAATTAAAACAATCTGAGGATTCACTTCAAAACTGCACTATTGCTCCAAACCAAACAACCACATTCATAAATGCTTACCAGTTCACTTATTCTGAAAGGAGAAATAAAGTCAAAAAACATAGACCTAAACCAACAGAATCACTTGTCATTAGCTGACTCTCACACACAGCTGTCTCTGTACTGACCTCAAACATCCATATTTGATTTTTAAAAGTTTCAAGATATGCATCAGAGTCTTGATTTAGAAATATCAAAAGAAGCAGAACCCTCCTCTTCCTTTCCTCTGATAACTAAAGAGGTCTGGTTTACACATCTTTATTCCTAAAAGTATTTATTTTTCATTGCATAGTTAACTTTAGAATATACATGTACCTTCAACTCTGGATGATAACACATTTCTCCACAGATATTTTCATGCTTTTTACATTCTAATGAGATGCACATTCTGTTACTTTTGCTGCTCCTTGGAGTCTTTGATGAGGTACACTTCTGCCATGCTTTACGTAAGAGTTCATATCCTAGGATAATGCCATTTGGCTGTTCTGGTGATGCCCAGTTGATTCTAAGAGATCTACAATAAGAAAATCAATCAACATCTGTTATATTTTTTTGAAGTATTTATACCTCTATAGCTACATACCTTAAATGATTAGCATACAGTAGTTCCATTTTATACTAGTTCACAAGGAGCAAAACATTTTTAAATATCCAAAACATTCTTTTGGATGATGAATTTCACAGATACTTTAATAACCAAAGGTGCGAAAGTTTTTCAAAACTGTCAATATATGCTAATACTACATGAAAGCAAATCACATGTGTAATCAAAGTCCTTAAAAGCTGCTATTTAAATGACATATCATTCCTACTTCTGGAAACTTATGTGTGATAAACTTTCTAGCTTGTAACTCATTTCATTTCAGTGGCAGGAGAAAGGATGGAGTATAGCTCTCCTTGCCCAATAGCAAAGGCATACAAGAACTTTTGTCAGGGCTGGTGTGGTTGCTCCATTCTCAGATAGGAACCTGGTAGAGGATGGGCAGGGGCAAAAGACCATCCCTATACCTCTCTGCTGTTGACAGTCACCCTTTAGAACAGGTTTGCATTCATCTTGCTTTTTCCCTGCTTTAAAAAAAAAAGGAAAAAAAATGTGTGCTGATTTGCAATGTGTTCTTCAGCAAAAAATGAAAAGGAAGAACCCACTGCAACATCAGTAAGCACTAATTCCCTTCTGTACTTATATATTTTAATTGACATAAAATTAGAAGTAAAAAATGGAAGTATTTATCACAACTAAGACTCAAGACTTGTAACAATGCAAAAGCATGATTGCAGCAGCCCACAAAGATTGTAAAACAAAATCCTGTTGTTGATTTCAGGTTTCATATCAGACCATCACCAGTTTAAGGAAGAAAATATATTATAGGAAAAACCACGTTAAACTATAGCATGCCTATCACTACTAAAAATGTGTAGTAAAATGTAGCTATTCGCTCCAAAATCTCACACACTATTACAATAAATAAATAGAAAAGGTGCATTTGAAACAAAAATACAAATTTTACATTGGTATTTCAAATGAACACTTCATTTCTTGTATAATCACCATTAAGTGTTGCATAAGACACAAATTTCCTTCACTGTGACTCTCTTTGGGTAGAGAGAAAGAGCTTCCAATGCTATATGCAGATCAATAGCAGGACTGACAACATTGCATAGTAAATACTTAGGCTCCAGGTACTTCTTTTTAATCTCCATGTCCCAATTACACAGCCACTGTCAGAATGCCAGTGACATCAGAAATTATCATTAATTTAAAGTGAAAATGCTACAGTGAAACAGCAGCTGCTGAGATAAACTTTGACATCTTAACAGAATAAAAATAAGTGAACTATTATTTCACTTCCTTGAGGTATGAACAGAAGTATACACACAGCAAGAAGCCTTTGCAGGAATTAATGTCACCTATGAGGGAATAACTTCATAGGTGACTTGTGGAGTAACCATGATCATTCCAAGGTCTTCATCTGATCCATAGAATTAATTCCATATTCCATCCATTGCTATTTTCTATTCTCTACATATTCTACCACATACAGATGAACACATACTTGCATGAATACACTCATCCACATTTAAATAATGTTTCAGGATCTAACCTAAAAATGTAAAAGCAGGAAAATATATTGTACGAACGTCAGGAAAAAAAAAAAGGAAAAAAAAGAAAAAAAGAAAAGGAAAAGAAGGGTAGTACTTTAACCTTTATAAATGCCATTATAACTCTCTCCTGGTCTTTGCATAGAATAGGTCACAGGAGCAAAGAAAGCATTCCCAGTCATATTTTTGAATGATTTGCTTTCTGAAAGCTTCATTCAGATCCTCAAGGGTATATTTTCAAAGTCTTGTGCCAGGTTTTTTTGCATTTTTTTCTAGCAATATTTATCTCCAACATAATTTCAAATTATTCAATTGAGACATGCACATCTCAGGGTGGACATATCCTGGTACTGTGCAAAACTGCAGCTGCACAAGGAAATTGTGTGGCATGGGAGTTCACTGGCCAGTGCCAACAAAAGAGTAAAACTCAGTATGACCTTCCAATAGCCACTCGCAGATAAGCAGACTCCTTCACAATTTTATGGATGTTTTAGTTATGTCTGCACCTTCTGATGTTTGCCATGGCAAATTGTGGCAACACAGGAAGAACAGTGCATATCTCAGTTTAAAAATGAACAGCAGGGTTTTCATGGGACTGCAGATGCTTTTGGACTCCCTCATCTGAAGAAATACCTCAGGCTGAGCTGAAAACCTTCTTGAGCAGGTGCAGATTTAATGGGACACAATGGGCACTTTAATCTGCAGCCAGCTGTATCGTGCATGGTGCATTTGATACAGCTGCAGAAACATGGGGGCAGAGCCTGTCCCTCTTCATCCCCTAGTCACTCCCTCTCCGATAAACTGGAGTTGTGTCTCTGCTAGTAAGTGCCCACAGCCTGACCTACAGAAGCAGACTTACAAATTCTAGGCATACAAACACTTCACATGTGAAGTATAATCCTTGTCTGCCCAGGGAACACTTCAAGTGTCTGCCATTTATGATAGTTCCAATGCTGGATGAATCCCTTCTGTGACTACTGTCAATGTGGTGACAATACTGAAGCAGACATGGCAGCCTAACCAGGTTCACAGAAACAATCTACTTCAGACTACAAGGTCCATGAGGCACTGCAGCACTTCCAGGAGATAAAGAACAATGAAGGTGCATTTGCTTTTGGTGAAACAGAGCAAGGCTTAACCAAGAAGATTAAGACTATAAAAAGGCCTTACTTTAGAATGTTGAGAACGAATCTTGTGTTAGTCTCCTCAAATACAAGGGTTAAATTTAAAAAATTCAATGACAATTTCAAGAGCTGGAATTAAAACAAAATCACAAAATTCACTGGACATTCTTAAGATAGGGAAGACTGTTGTTATTAATAACTAGTGGGTAAAATACTTCCCTCATCAGGAGATCACACATACTGAGCAACTGCTCCAGCATTATTGCACAGGAATTAACTACCTGCAGCATCGTGGACTGCAGGGCTGACATAATTAGAGAGTACAGCACAGGCAGTCTGATAAATGGCATCATGCTTCTGTTGTTGCTAGAAAGTTCTTAGAAAAACCTTTCAGTGCTTTGTTTTTCCCATTACGAAAGGAGGGAGAGGAATCAGGTGTCCTCTATGGGAACACTGTCTTGAACACTATAGGGAAAAATGTTATAAAACTAAGCATATGTGAGAAATCTTTGTGTTTTGCTCACCATATGTTGAGTGGATGTGACTCCACAACAACCTTCCCTAGTGTTTTGTATTTAAGCACATAGTTAGGAATCCCTGTGACTTTTTTTAATTTCCACCCATTTTCCCGCTACGGAAAATCAGACTTACTGGTCTTTAGTTCCCCATATCCCCTTGGAGAAATCTGCACTACATTTTCTCACGGGTGAGACCTCATCACTGTATACAACTTCCTCATGAGGGGAAGTAGAGGAGGGGCAGGCACTGATCTCTATTCTCTGGCAATCAGTGACAGAACTCAATGGAATGGCCTGAAGCTCTGTCCTGGTAGGGTTAGGTGGGATATTAGGAAAAGATGCTTCACCCACAGTGTGGTTGGGCACTAGGCTCCGCTCCCCAGAGAAGTGGTCACAGCATCAACCCTGACAGAGTTCAAGAAGCATTTGGACAATGCTCTCAGGCACATGGTGTGATTCTTGGGATGTCCTGTGCAGAGCCAAGAGGTGGACTCAATGATCCTCATCGGTCCCTTCCAGCTCTGAATATTCTGTGATTCATACTCCATTTGTTCAGCACTGAGACTAATTTGAAGGATATTTTACACAGAACAGCAGTTGGACACTTTCATATTTGATCTCCTTTAGACCTCATGAGCAAAGATCATCATCCAAATAATTTGTTGCTATGTTTTATCCATTTGTTCTAAAATCCTTCTCACTAAAAGGTTATTTTGAAATAATTCCTCTAGCTCAATCAGTCACAAGCAGCACCTCATATGGAAACCTCCTGTCTTATCATACTGAACACCATACCAAAGAATTCACCTAGCTTTTCTCCCATGGCCTTGTCTTCTTTGAGTTTTCTATTATACCCTGACCAGGATTTCTGGTTCCCCCCAAGGTGTTTAAAGGGCCCTCTCTGTCTTCATGAAGCCATGAAGGATTTTCCCTAGATTATGCCACATGGTGTTTTCTGAGCCATCAATCTTTGAATTAAGCACTGAACAGAATTGCTGGCAGGGTTCATCTGCATTGCGCCTCGGTCTTCTGAAGGGAACAAATCTACTACTAATTATTGATATTAGGAAAAAAAACCAAAGGGGAATGAAGTATTTTCCAGCACAGCATGAGAATTTAGTGCACTACACAAACTTTAAGTCAGCACCCACATGCATGCAGTACTCAGAGAACTTTCTAAACTGTGCACTAAAATACTTTTCTCTATAGACTCAAATCCTGAGGTCCTGATTAAAAAAGAAAAAAAAAAAACATACTTGATTCCAATTGCATTTGTTTCTATCTAATCATGGCCAATACAACCTCTCCACCTCCCCCCACATAAAACCCTAAATGCAGGCAAGAAACATAACAAACCAGAACCTGATTTGGGACTTCAGGAATGAGTCCCATACTGTTTTCTATTTGAAGTTTGGCATTATAAAATAATTTCAGGACTGCGACCTTTTGTGCCAAGTTTCAGCCTGAAGCTGAGTTATTAACTGTAAGGGGTGGAAAAGTAAGGTATTTATAATGGCTCTGGTGGTATAACCTTCATTAGAACAGTGTGGATGGAGCTGCTATCAGAAAGACTTCCAAGTTGGTGGGTGAAATTATAATTTCTGTCATGCAGCACCTTGAGGCAAATTTTAAAACGATTATTTGTGAATGCTACAAAGACATTATCCTGCAGCATTCTCATCAATAATACAGCCCCCCTAAACTGATTCAGAAGAGGAAAAAACACCATGATTCCAATTAAAGACAATAAACTATTCAGTCTGTATTATATCTCAGGTATCCCTTGAGCCTATACTCTAGAAATTCCCTTTTTCTCTGCCTGATGACAGATATGTATTAAAATGTTCTCTTGTCCATACAAACTGTTCAGTTTTGCCCAAGCTTTTTCTTTTATGGAGGATAAATAAGCAAAATTCATATTCAGCCCAGCACCTGCTGAAGCTGTCAGCTGTAGTGTTTGTCATATTTCAATCAAAGCTGAACCCAGCCAGTCATTTTTATACTGCACAATCCCTACATACTCGAGGACCAGAATTAATGAATTAGCTATTGATTAAATTCCACTCTAGCAAATCCACCGTGGCAAATAAATGAACTACCCGGGGCACATGTAGGCCACGGCCAGACATGTCCGGGCAATCGATCAGTAGTTAGTATTCTTTTGGGATATAAGAACAGCTGATGATAATATGACATGTAGGAAAAGGCAGTGTAGAAACAGTCTGTTTCTGGCTGAGCAGATTATAAAGTAGGAAGGCATTTTTGATCCTTTTGCATTCATATGTTATGACATATTTAGTCTATATATAATAGCAGAAACATGCATAAGTGTTTGCAGTACAGACAATACAGACAAAGGCATACATAAGTTAAAGCCAAGGGCAAAAGATGAGATCCTGAATTGAGTTCTTATCATCAAACAAGCTTTGACTGTATCTGTATGTGTGACAGAAAAATAGCGAGCTTAATTTCACCCTTATACAGAGACAAATGCTCAGTTCAAGCAAAATGTAGAAATGATAAACAGCAAACCAAAGTCCATAAGAGGCTGGAGAAGCTAGACCATTCTGCTCGCCATTTCCGAAGGTGAAGATGCTAGATTTTTGTTATTTTTAAAAAGATTATTTTTTTCTTTTGATGTAAGAAACACTGCTAGTAAGCATACTCCACCAGAAGTGGGAAATCACAGGAACACTAACATAAACATAGGAGGTTACCTGCTTTATTGTTGGTGGAAAAACATGTTAGCAAGTTTAGCTTTCCTTTGTCTTTGGAAAACATTTACTCCCAAAGAACTACTGTATAAGGTACTATTCGGCTGCTTCTAAGGACTGCAAATTTGATGCTCCATTTACAATTAAGAAGTTTGCCCATGCCCACGGATGTAGTGGCTAGGCAGATTGCAGTGGTTCAAGGAGACATAGATATACATGCCTTTTAAGATAGCTTACTAATTCTTACTGTTGTGATAGGTGACTTTTTTTTACTCAGAATTATTCTAAGTTTCCATTATCAGCATCGCATTGCTCCCTGAGCATTAATCTTCCTCTGCTTAACTGACAGCAAAATGTGATAATTTTCATTCCACTACACTTCTTCTCTTAACTACTGCCACTTATGCTTTATTTATTATCACGGCACAGTGATACCCAAATGGGTACATACAATCAACCAAGGATGAGACTTCTTCAATTGCTCTTTGGGTGAAAAACCTCCAAGACCAAAAATAACAACCCCTAAAAATGTTTTCAAAGTATATACTGAATTCTTTTATGTGCCTTCTTGAATTTTGAGAAGACAACCTTACGTTCTGGTCCCTGTTCCAGCTACAAATCTCTCTGATATATAAAAGCCACCTATAGCACAGTACCTTGAGCCAATTATGTGAATAATGGGTGCTGACAGCTGCTTTGGCTCATCTTCCACAGTTGTAATCTGGGTCCCATTGCTTCTCACGCAGGCATACACTGTGCAGGCTTCAATCTGATGAGGAAGAACATGAGTTTCACATACTCAGCTGCAGAAATTTTTCAGCTCCACTACTTGTTTAGACTTTCTCTTCACCCACAATTTTATTCCTTTCCATTTAACAGATTCCATATAGCCAGGAATCTACCAGAGATACACTGCACTGTATTGCATTTTCCCATACCATTTTCAAGACAAGGGTACATGCCACCCTCTGGCACTAATGGTTGTTTTCTATTAAATTATCACCAACAGAGTTGCAGTGAATTTGTTTTTCTGCATGCATAAGTAGACTCATACAACACCAAAAAAAATGTGCTTTGACTAGGGGCCTTGAGTAAGTTTTATACTTCTACCATATATTCTGACATAAAAATAAGGATAATTTTTCATCAATATTTTCTGTTCTTTCATGCCTCTTCTGGAAACTAAATGTGAAAAATGCAAATAGGAATTATACAATTTGTTATAAAAAAAGTCACAGAAATAAAAACATTAAAGATTAAGCAGAGGCAAAGTTAAATGGGTAGAGAAGGATAGTAACATTGTTTCTGTATAGTCAACAGGGAAGTTACTCAAAATAGAAAATCACAAAAATGAAAGATAACGCAGCAAGATTACCAGTGAGATGTACATGCATCCAAGATAATATTGTTTCCAGGCAAAGAAGAAAAATAATCAAAAGGCAAAAAAATTAAGGCAGCCTTATTTTGGGTTTTCCTATCACACTGATGCAAATATAAGTCCAGTATAAATACTAGCAGAGCAGAAGAGTAGAATAATTAACATCTCAAGCAACAGAAGGTGGCCATGGTAAATTAATATAGAGAGTCTGTAAGTGAGGCAGTACACTGAATTTGCATTGTTATTGAGAAAAGACAAATGTGTTTCCAAGTGGCATTCAGAAAGTCATATGTGTATTCATGGATGGAGGTTTGCTGCTTCAGAGGGGCTGGAACATGGAAATCTGTTATGGTATGCCTGTCTGTGATGTTTATTTATGGCATGTAGTAACTGGATGCAAATTTTCAAAACGAAGTATACATGGTACTACTAAGCCCATGTCATATATAATAATGCAAACCAAACCTGAATGAAATAGACAGGAATAGTTACAATTAAGTGTCAAACTGCATTACTTGAATATATTAGTACACTTTCAGGATAGAAAGGTATTATTTATTCTTTTCATTATTATTATGTTTCTGCACACAGTATTTTGCCTTTCAGCAGATATGTGAATAGAGGGGCAAAGATACAGAAAGGAAAGCAAAGAAAACATATTGTACTTATTAACAACATGAAAAGTACTATGATGATTTCAGCGATCAGCTCTACTTCCTCCTCAGAAGGATAGGGAAAATAAATTGATAAAAGGGTGTCAAATGCAGCATCATTATATCTCTATGCTGATATATTATGCATGCCTGATGTTTCTAAAACAATTGCAATTTGCTTTTAATGAGTAGGAGTAGACTCTTTGCCTTTTTGTAATATATGGTGGGGCTTTGCTAACGTTGAAGCACAGAGCAATTAAGGGAAAGTAAATGGAGTTTTGACTGTTTGAAAAAAGAATGGAAATGTGTGTTATGAAAAGTGCACACAGACCAAAATATGCTGAAAATAAATGTATACTTTGTATGTAGATGCACAAAACCATCAGTGCAAACGTGTTCATATACATAAAGGCATTAATGAAAAAATATTCCGCTTGAAAATCCAAACACTATAAGTAGAATTAAAGAGTACTGCACAACCCAGAAGAGATATTCTAACCTGTATATCATATACGGTGAATGGAGACAAATCTGCTAAAAGAAAGGACCCCGGCTCGTTCATTCCAGTCTTGTACTGCTTATTATTTACATAGACAGAGTACTCTGTGACAACACCATTCGGGTTTGAAGGCGATGTCCAGATGACACGTACAGCTGTACTGTTGATGATGACAACCTCTGGAGGGAACATGCCCTCAGGCTCTAGAAATAAAGGAAGAAACTGAATAAACTCCAGCTGTCTCTGCAAAAGCACTTGTTTAACCAAATGCAGATTAGTATTTAGGTTTAGCAAAGGGTTCACTGCTTATCTGCTTTCCTCTGATGAAGTTATCACAGTCTGTAGTCTTCTGTAAATTGGCTTATTATACTCTCAGTTAGAAACCATGAGAGCTGATGGTAAAATGCTTTTTACCAGCAGCATAGTGTCAATCATCAGTACTATGTGGCCAGTGAGATATGATGATAAATTATTCACCCATCTGCACTGCCAAAGTACAAATATTATTTTTATGACTCCCCAATCCTAATTCTTAAAAAAAATAATTAAATTTGCTTTTAAAGCAAAACCTGAGACCAAAATACTTTATGTCTGGTGGAACATGACGTTATCAGCCTTATAGCTGAAGCAATATGAAGCCGTATGCAACACTGTCATTATGTAAATGGTTTTGAATGTTGATTACTATAGATAATGATGAAGTCTAACACTTAGTTTAAACTAAAAAAACCCAACACCTTCCTTAGTGTTAAATTACATAAGTCTCTAAGCATGTCAGAAATAACCATGCGAAGACCTATTTTTATCGTAAGAACCCATATTTACCATGTGAAAAATTGCCCTTATCATCAGTTCTATTTTATAAACAAAAGGTGCTGACCTTTGGCATGAGAAAGGAAATGGAATCCTCCCTTAAATTGCTTTGCTAATGACCTGGAACACTTGCTTCTGAGGTAATGATATTATAATGTTTATAATGAGACTTTGTAAAACAAAAAGATTAGAAAGACCATTCCAAACACATTTCAGATGCACATTTTTTTATTATTATTATTTTATCCTCAACCTCCACCCCCAACCCTGCACTTGCCCATTGGCATAGAAATGACTTATAAAGAATTTTCTTAGAGGCTGAACTTACACCTAGAGTTTCTAGTGACTGGAAAGGCCCTGTGTCTGACTGTCATGTCAAAAGCATGTCGCTTCACAGAGCAAATCTTTTAAAAGAACCATTAATTGTTTCTAAATTCCACCATTTATTGATATGAACTCAGTTCCAAGCTTAGTGCACACAGATAGGAATATGCAGGCAAAGATGAGAACAAACTGGGTTAATATCTGCTATTAGAGCTTTTGCTTCTCTCTCAGTGGGACCATTTATTGATCCTCCACTTGATGACAACCAGCACTTAAGCATTTTAGCGTTTTAGACCTTTTTCCTTTTATACCGGAAATTTTATAATGGAAGGATGACTGATCTTAACCCTAACAAAAATCAATCAATTTCATTCTCAGATTTTAAGCCAAGCCACACTTGCTGCTAACCAACCTCCATCTGAGGTAGTCACATGTACAGCTTCACTGTTGATGCTGTGGACTCCATTAAAAACTTGAGAAAATATCTGATACTCTGTGTTGGGATGCAAATCACCAATGACTATAGAGTTTACATCAGCCTGGATCCTTAGAGATCTTCTCTCATCAGTGGAATTCAAGAAGAGAGTATAATATACAACATCTCCTTGCAAATCCTGTAGTGCTAGGAAAAGAAAGAAAAAACATTGGGATATCAACTGGGAAATATTCAGTCAGCAAGTTTTTTATCAGCAATATTTATTGTGAAGTGTAGAACAAATTTTATGCAGACACTTATTTAAAAAAAAACAACAAAGGAAAGATTCCATCAAGTGCCTCCAGTTTCACCCTTGTAAGCAGTGATGCAGACTGCACTTCCTAACTTGCCAAAATTGTTAACTGTTCATCATCCTATCCAAGACCGGAGAAAACTGTCTTTCTCTAGACATCCCCACGATGACAATGGAATCTGTGAAGCAAACAAATGGCTGAAACCCACTGCTTAGCACTGATGTGCAGGCCTTGCAACAGCAAGTTGCACACAGATTTTGAAGGAAGAGAGCAAACCAGACTGCTCTATGGCACTAGTGTAAGATGGAAACCTCAAAGATCTTTTCCCTTTCTGCCCCTTACCTTCAAGCATTACTCTACCACTCCAACCCAATTCCTGTGATATTCCTCTCACCATGAAAAAGAGGCCAGTGCCTATGCCTTAAATTCCAGTTACATTCGACTTTACATAGGTGACCTTTAGTCCATAGTGACAATGAAAAGCTATGTTTTTATTTTAGAACAAGCATGATTGCATCATCTACCTGTAAAGTTGTAATACACTCAGAAGCATTATATATCTAAAGGGGAGAAAATCATATCCCCACATTTCTTCCTAGAATGTGTTTTCCCCAGCACTAGCTTTCCCAGAGAAAGGAAGAAAAAACAGTATAATTTTCTGGCTGCACAGGGAAGGACATTCATTGGTATAAGCTGGTGGATAAACAAGGATTCCAGGCAAGACTTCTCCATTTTAGCAACTTAGATGTCATCTGTTACCTTATCTGTCCTTTGTCAAACAGTTTAAGTTCAGATCTGATCAAATGCAACTGCTTTTCCAGTAGGCATCAAGATGAAAAGAATAATTATGACAAAAACTTTAAGCACTAACACATACTGCTTTAGATGACCCACAATGCCACTGAACAGGACTCAGCTCACTGGGAAAAAAGCATTGATAAAAGTCAAAAGCACATTTTCAGATACAAGGTTTTGTCATTGAAACTCTTAATCAAGAATGCTATGCTATTGTTAAGTGATACAGATACAAGTCCTAAATCCTTAGAAGTCAGAAACCTTCAGTAGGGAAAAGAAAGACAGCAAGGCAACTTATGTTAAGGGCTCCCAAGTTCCCACAGAAAGCAAGAAAACAATTTGAAACCTAATATAATGAAAAAAAAAAAAAAGAACCATGGATATACAAAAGAGTTAATATGCTTGTTGCCACATAACAATTAATAAAATATGATAAGGTTTACAAATAATGAATGGCCTTGTCTAGGTTAACTTCTGCATTCACAAACATATACAGAGGAAATTTCTAAGGTATGAATGAAAATAAAACCAGATTGTATTACCTACATCTAGAAGGTCAGGGGTTTAGATTACTAAGGTAATGAAACTTCAGTGAGCTGCTTCAGATCTATTACATTTGTCAGTTTTTATAAGCATGCTTACTTCAGGCATGCAATTATAAAATAAAGAGACTACATTTGTTGCAATTCAGCACCCAGTCCTTACAAAATCATTTGCATGTAAGTCATGAAGAAATTCCCCACTGCAGTATTAGCAAACCAACTAGAGAAATTGGCTAAATTCATTTTAAGGAGCAGAGCAGAAAGAAAGAGAAAGGGGATCCTCTCATTGTGAAGGAATCTACACGTAAACTTTTTTATACAAAGAGATGAAACAGACCACAGAGACAACAGGATTTTGTGTAGTACTGCTTTATAGATGTCTCATGAGTTTGCACTAACTATTTCTACACTTTCACTACTCCCATTCTGCAAAAAGAGCATATAATAAATATGAACATGAGTGAGGAATAGCAAAATGTGCACATTTTTTTTCCCTATTTCCTTCCTCTCCTTTCAAGGACATTTAGGTATATTATAAATCAAGACAAGGACTATGTTTCCTATGAGAGCAAGGCAGACTAACATAAGTGATGGCAGGTTAACATCTAGTTACTGGAATAAATACTAAGGACACTTACTTGGTTTTGACCATTCCACTTCTACAGCAGTATGATTAACAGCATGGGCATTGAGGATACTTCCTTTCTCTGGTAATCCTGCTAATGTAGTAGCTATCACTGCTTCACTTGATGTATATCCCACCTCGTTGTGCACTATGAGCTTGTACTCATATGTTGTGTACCTAAGACATTTTAAAAATAATTAAATGGAACGAAAAATGCAGACATAGAAAATATTTGCTGTAAACCTTCTGCCTGTGCCAAAGTTTTGTTGTTTCTTCTCCCCCTGTACAAAAATTCAGCTGCATGGTGTGCATCAATGAAGACTTTGTAAGAGGCATCTATTTTTGGGGAATAATTCAGCATGATTAACAGGGCAACGAAAATAAAACACATTATTTCACTTCTTCATAGTTGTAGCTTCTGAGGTGTTGAGAGATTACAGCTCAATTCAATATGTAATTACAGCGGTGGCAACCTGCCAAAATTTGGATCAGAATTTAATCAAATTAGGCTTTTTTCCTCTTTTGGGAAACCCATTGATTTTAACTTGCAGCATCTCATTTGTAAAAGTGATTCACTACACAGTCAGGACTCTACACTACAAAAACATCCAAAAAAAAGCACCTAGGAATGCAAATGCATTTAATAAAGCAATTTACTTCAGAACTATGTATATTCCACTTACACAGATTTATTAAATACTACATGCACATTTAGTAAACCAAGTGACTGTCAGTCTATGATTTATTCTCTATATCAAATGGCATATTAATGTATTTTAAGTAGGATTTCATACTCTCAAATTTAATTTCATCATTAAAAGCCTCACACTAAACTGTACAGACACAGAAACTCAGGATCATCTTGTTCAAATTTTCACTGAAGCTGCAGCACATTTGGGAAAAATGTCTATAAACGCAATAAAGGGCGATGCAGTAAACGCCTAATATTTAGAGATTTTGGTACAAAAATAACTCACATTGTATATTTACTTTATTTTACTTTTTTATATTTATCTTGTTTTTTAGCCACTTTACTACAGCATCCTGAATTTCAAACAAGCTAAGCTTTAGCAGTCCCACTGAGAAGCAAGCAAATTAATGGGAACTCACTAGCTCCAACTGTAACTATAAACACTGACAAACAATGACAATATACAGAACACATCTTATGTCACTCTCTGCACTTTCTGTTACTTGCAAACATGTTGTATTTTCTGGGACACTGTAGCACACATGCAATAAAAAATGAAATTCTTGCAATTTAATGATGTGAATGTGAGATTCATTTTTGGACCAATATTTTCAACAATGTATATAAAAGGAGTTTGCTGGCTAGAAATCAGTAATTCTGAAACACGGTTAACATATGACATAAATGAAGACAGATGCTGATATATGAATTTTCTTTCAGTTAAAAACAACTCGTCCTGAGTTGTTTACTTCAAAAATATAGCTGCAGACTGCAGAACCCTCCCCAAAAGAAGTGTTCAGATGTGTCCAATAGTTAGGCACACTTTTCTGGCCATAGCTCATTCAACCCAAAATTTCATTGTGCCTCATGACAGGTCACTGCAGACCAGTCAGAATGCTTTTCCCCCCTCTGAACTACTAATGCAACTTCTGCACATGCCAGCACCTCTGGAATGAGCTAAACTAAAACCAAAGGAGACTCTATGTAGAATTTCAAATGTGGTTGAAAGAAAGAAATGGCCACTTGGGCAGGCTTGGTACAAGAACACCTCCATGATCAGTTATTGCAACAGATGGAAATGAGCAGTGACTTTCAGCAAATAGGCAATGACAAGCCAGAGTCACTAGCCCTTGTCTTGGTTCAGACTATACAAAATACAGGAGCAGAGGTCACATTCTCCTGGTTCACACTGTGCTCAGGAGAAATGGTCCCACAATTTTAAGTAGACGGAAAGTACAGACATTTGAGGGTCAATGATCGACATGCAGTCCCCATAAAGCATGCCAGCAGACAAGTGCAGAGAACACATACACCCTGAAAGCATCCATGAGGGCTTTCCCAGGACTTTACCTATAAAAATCCAATGCAGAATCCACATTGAATCTTCCATTACAATTTCTTGATGTGTATGTTTGTCTTAAGGAGCAGTAGCCTTGACTTTGAGATGCAGAAACTAAGGTGGATCAAGAGCAAGTGTCTTGCTCTGCACCACACAGTAGGTCTGTTACATACTGAGGAACATTATAAACTCCATTTCCTCACTCTCAACACTCTGCATTCAACTGTGATGAAGCTAACACAATAAAAACAGGTAAAAGCAACATTGCTGAAACCAAGTTTCAAATGTTTCCCATCTAGGACTTCTCAAATATGCATTCAGCCTGTGCTATGACTTTAACAACACAAAAATGTATGTTGAGTGTATGTACACATAAATCTCAATGGCTTGATTGCATGAACATATCAATGCTTAAATTTCACAAGATCATTCTTTCCATTTGTTTTTCAGAGCAAAACAATGTATGAGTCACAAATGACAGACTAATAATAAATCCCTGCATATTAGAATGATTAATACCAAAGATGATGACAAAAAATATTTCATTACATAATTAATATGTTCACTACATAAAGACACAAGAAATACTTTGAACTATTAAACATACACTATACAAAATGCCAGCATTTGTTTTTATAGTTTTTGTAATCTCACCTGCTAAGACCCTTATCTTCATAAAACCACTGAGTTCCTGAGTAAATATTGTGCCACAGATTTAAATCTTCAGGGGGATTTGATGCAAGTGGTTGCTGGATTTTACGTCTCAGGAGCTCATATCTAACACAAAAGACAAGCAGAACACCAGGATTATCTCAACTAATGTTATTACACAAAAAAAAAAAAAAAAAAAACCCCATAGGTTTTTTTTTTTAAAGCCACACATTATTTTGTTTTTACAGCTGTAAACTTTCTGAGATAAACATTCCTTTTAATGTTTTGTGATTTAAAATATTCAAGTATTAAAAAAATACCCAAACAACTACTTTGAAAATGCAAAATCAAGCACTTCCATTTAAAAACAATGAGTTTATTTAATGATTTACAGATTTTACACTTTGTGGAAATGCTAGGAAGATCAAGTCCAGATAGCCCAGTAACAGTGTCTTATGCAGATTTGCACAATATGCACAGATTGTTCCAAAATATGAAATGACAATGTCTCTTTCTTGCAAATGTACTGAAACATGTAGCACTACCATTACTATTTTACTAGCAATAGTAACTTAAGTGTGCCTTTGTATTTAATTTGTGTTTGCAAATAACTACTGTGTAAATTACAGGTGAAAACAGGCATAGAATGAGTTAATTGTTCAATCCATCTGGAGACCTTAGCAAGGCATCTTTGTATTTGGGTAGACATTC